CTATCGCATGGGGAAATATGTGGGAATAAGCTTGGAAGTACGAGTTTAATTATGCATGATGTAGATATAAGAAATGCTGTTCCAATTAAGCAACATCCTTATAGACTTGACCCTCAAAAGTTGCCACAGGTTTAAAAAGAGATTGAATGCATGGTCCAAGACAACATAATCAAAGTGAGTTGCACTGACTGGAGCTCACCCATAGTAATAGTGCCAAAACCAGATGGTACCCAACAATTATGTGAAGACTATTGCAAAGTCAATGCAATTACAAAGTCCGATTCATATCCAATGCCATGTTTGGAAGACTGTATTGAGAAGGTGGGACAAGCAATTTATATTTCTAAGTTGGACTTACTTAGAGGATACTGGCAGGTACCTTTATACAAAGAGTGAAGACAATTTCGGTTTTCGTAACACTGAATGGGCTATACCAATTTAAAGTCATGTCATCTGATATGAAAGATGCACCAACCACATTTCAGAACTAACCAATAAAGTCATTTCTGGATTACCAATTGTGTGGTATACATTGACGACCTGGTGACTTTTAGTCACACTTGGAAGGAACATTTGCAGCATTTATCGGAATTGACTTCGGGAGGCAGGCTTGGTGATAAACCTGGCTAAGAAAGAATTCTCCAAAGCCCAAGTCACAGTCCTGGGCCATGTTATTGAACATGGACAGATGGCCCTCCAGAATGCAGAAACAAAGCTTACAGGGGAGTGTCCCATACCTTCGATGAAGACAGCAGTACTCTGATTCCTAGGATTGAGCACATATTATTGGAAACTTGTATTGAATTTTAGCAGTGTGATTGCTCCACTGACTGACTTATGGAAGAAGTGCAGAAAATTTCAGTCGATGGCAGACAGTCAGAAGGCATTTGACAGCTTGAAAGCTGTGTGAGCCACTGCCCCAGTATTAGCCACAACTAATTACACAAAGCCATTCAAGATGGCTATCGATGCGAGTGACATGGGTATCAGTGCTGTATTCCTATACAATGACAATGTGGAGATAGAAAGACCTAGCGGGTATTTCTCTAGGAATTTAAATATTCATCAACGGAAATATTCCATAATTGAGGAGACCTTGAGCTTGGTGTTACAACATTTATATTGTCAGCAATGTTTCTGAGATGATTGTATATAGTGATCATAATGCATTAAAGTTTTTGGAGAAATTCAAGGACAAAAATTACAGACTGTTTAGACAGAGCTTATTACTGCAGCCATTCAATTTGAAAATCATACACATGGCAGGATGAGAAAATGTAATTACCAATGTGTTGTTGCAACGTAGATGAAGACAGACAGACAGAAGCATTTGGTGTCAGGAGTAAATGGACTGAAATAGAAAGTAGTAGTGAATCTTCGCATGCTTAGAGTCAATGTAGTGTAGTGTACTAACACAGTAAGATGAAGGGGTTTAAAAATGAAACTATCTTTGTATGTTGATGGGTTTTTTTGAAAGGGAGGGAGGTGCGACAATGCTGTCACTTTAAAAGTTTATTTTGTCCTTGGTTTTTTTTTGAAGAGAGTTTGTAAAGACAGACGTGCGGAAGTCTACAGAGTAACAGTTTAACAATGGAAGGGGAGTGGCCAGTTCTCCCAATTCAGGTTTTATTTAGTTTTTTTGAGCTGTAGCAGTCACAAAATGTTTTGAGTACCAGAAGTTCTGCAAGCTTCATGTAAAGGACTCCTGACTTTCTCTGAAATCTCTCTGATTGTTGTTCATTTTTCTGAAGAAGGATCCAGCCTCAAAACGTCAGCTTTCCTGCTCCTCTGATGCTGCTTGGCCTGCTATGTTCATCCAGCTCTACGCCTTGTTATCTCAGTTAATTAGTTGAGTTGTTGTATTAGGTCAGTTAGGTTTTCCAATAGTTAAGTTACTGTAAACTCCACTTTGTGTTTCAACTGTAGAGTTTAAATAAATTTTGTTTTGCTTAAAGCCAAGTGGTTTAACCAGTTGCATCACACCTGGAACACTCACTTCAAAACTGCCTTTTAAAATATGAAAAAGTTAGGGTATAGGCTACCTCCTTAAAATATTTTAAGCAGGTCTGGCCTGGTCCATAACAAACTGACCAGAGCACTGAGAGACATGAAGCCATTCAAATAAAGAAAGTTAATAGGAATTTAATAGTAAGGAACAGCACATTGTGGCAATATCATGGTTTTAAGAAGTTTATTTTGTCCTGTTTTCTTTATTAAGTGGTTGAGACAGAAGTAACAAGCAGCCTACTTCATGCCAATAAAGTAAACAACTAGCGAGCCTTGTGGTTTTTTTTAAAAAAGTTGGAGTAATAGAAGCAGCCTGAATGAGTAGGGTCGAACTCCCATGGAACCAGGATTTTTAGTTTAGCTTTCAGGAGCAATTGCTGGGGGCTTGAAGCTGGCTATGGAAGCTGTTTTTCCTGTTACAGCTAAAGCTTGGGTTCTCTTTCTACTGCTGGAATTGCGTGAGACAATGTTACTGAATTTGCCTTTGCCAACTATATTGCAACAGTTAATGAGTAGCTTATTATTTTGTTAATTATTGAAGTGGAGTTATAATAAAGCCAACTTTTTATTATTTTCTCTGCTTTTTAACGATAGCATATAAAGAAAGTGTGTTTTGCTTCAAGCTTGATAGTTTGACCAATCAAATTGCATCCAGAATGCAATGCCTCGCACTTGCCTTAAGAGAAAGTTAGGGTCAAGGCTAGCTCCTTAATATGTTTCAAAAGGGTTTGGTCCAGTCCATAACAACATTCAATGAAGTATAGCCTTCTGCACCCAAGAGTAGAATTCAGATGGTTGTTTTATCAGGATTTGGTAACAGCTTCTCTGGGCTAGAGGAACATGTAATGGAAAGGAGTAGGATATAGTTGTCAGGGGCCACATAGGTCCACCTCTGTCATTTGTATCTATGAAAGAGATTCTGAAGGAGTATGTGTAGGTAGGGTTTAAATCGAAGTTTAGAATTTCAAAGATAAGCTCTAGATTACTAACTGAAGCATGAGCAAATAGGTTTAGGAAATAAGATTCAAGAAATAAATACATAGCTCAGAGTGGTATGAAAGAAACAGTGTTAATGGGACATTGGGATGAGTACTAGGGCAAATGGGAGCCGTACTTTGGGATGTACGAGGACCGCTGTCTAATGGATCATTTTAGGAGGGCAGTAGAGAAGATTTTGCATGTATTTGTTGAAGGGAGATGGGGTAAAAGGAATGAAAGTAATCAGTGTTTAGGAAGGGACAGAACATACAGATATCAAAGTTCATCCCAGATAAGACCAAAGATTGTAAAAATGGTTATAAAAAAAGATTTAGGGCCTGTAGAGAGAGAAATACGTAGAACTGGTAACTTTAATCATCAATTCTTAGAGAAGTACGTGCTAAAGCCAACCAGGTCTATGCAAGAGAGATAGTAGGAACTGCCGATGCTGGAGAATCTGAGATAACAAGGTGTAGAGCTGGATGAACACAGCAGGCCAAGCAGCATCAGAGGAGCAGGAAAGCTGACGTTTCGGGTCTGGACCCTTTTTCAGAAA